TCGGACCGTCACTTTTTAGGATCAGTTTTTTCGGTGATTATTCGTTCATGACAAGTCCGATTAAAATGTTTTTTTTCTATGTTCATCTGGATGTTCATACGCATGTGCATGCAAAATTTGACGAGAATTGGTTGAGTGATGCAAAAGAAAAATGCGGACAAAGAAGTTGCAAAGTCTAGTATAAGAGCTTCGCTCGCCCAATGAGAATCGAATTCATTAGTATGCACAAGAGAATCATTTAATTTGCGCATGTGATTCTAGATGGCCAGATATTCCGTAACCAAGGGTAACGCGCATGTGTCTTTACGATGATGGTATATCGAAGGTGTATATCCAGTGATCTTTTATTTAGTATACCTTCATGCGCCTTATTACTTAGGTTATCGTCTCTTCCCTCTTTTTAAATATTTTTATCCACAGTGTACATAAACAACGGAGTCGAAAGTTAGCCATGGAGGACCAGTATAAGTGGCGGGGGAATTTTCTAAACTTGTTCAAGTCCCGAGAAGAGCTATTTTTTTATGTTTTCAAGTCTACGTTTTGAAACATATGTATATGTTAGCATTTGTCCTATTTTGTAATTTGATTATAGTATTTCTACTGATTCTAGATTCTTAATAAGTTTTGTTACAACCTGGCTGCAACTTCTGTTACAAATTTGTGTACATATTTAGTTTGTATTAATAATGGCTTCACGTAAAAGTTTGGTGTGGATGTACAGTATTCCATCAGAGGATGGAAAATTTGTTAAGTGCATTCTATGTGACAGTATGTTATCCTATAATAGATCAACGTCAGCTATTATGAAGCATCTGCGAGGTAAACATCGGGATACATTTTCAAATGCAGCTATTGAAGTTTTCGATTTTGATGCTAATGAATCAGCAACAGAACAATCTCAGGGAAGTAATGAAGCCTGTCCTCGCAAAAAACTGCAGAAAATGAACACATGCACTCCAAAACGACAAGAAGAAATATCACAAGCACTTACTCGTATGATTTCGTTAAATATGATGCCTATTTCTTTCTGTGACAGCATAGGATTTCAAGAGTTTATGGCTGTACTGGAGCCTGGATATCGTTGTCCTTGTCAGAAAACTATTATAAAACGGTTGCAATGTTTATACAATGAAAAAAGGACTAAAATAGAAAAAGAGCTCTCTATGGCATCCTATATAGCTATTGCCAGCGATGGATGGTCTTCACGATCACAAGATTCATATATTTCTACAACTGCAAATTTCATAGATGAGAAATGGGTCCTTAAAAATTATATGCTATGCACACAATTGGTAGAAGATCGTTATACAGAGGAAAATTTATTTATTATGTTTAATATGATTAATGAAGAGTGGCCTATTAGTGGTAAAGTGAACAGTGTGGTACATGATAAAACAAGTAATATAGGTGTGACAACAAAACTATTAGATGGTGTACGATATAATATTTCTTGTGCTGCACATATTTTACAATTATGTGTAAAAGATGCATTCAATTCAGTTGACAGATACCAGGAAGTAATACAAAAAGCCAGTCAAATTGTGCAATATTTTCATCATTCTAATGTAGTTACTTCCTATTTGATCAAAAAACAAAAACAATTAAATTTAAGTGAACAGAAGTTAGTACAAAACTGCCCCACAAAGTGGAGTTCTAGTTATTATATGTGTGAACAGCTTGTGAGCAATAGAAATGCAATTGTCGCTGTTTTAACAGATAGGACTATTACTAATTTAAAAACTGCTTTGAAACTGGAACTATCCGATCATCATTGGTCAATTATGAATGATATTATTACAGTGTTAAAACCTTTACAAATAGCAAGTACTACATTATGTTCTGAAAATAGTGTAACGATTTCTTTAGTGCTTCCTATTGTTCATGGCCTTATTAATAATCACTTGAAAAATAATGATTCTGATATAACTGAAACTAAACATTTCAAAAATATTTTAAAAGCATCCCTTGTTAATAGATTTAATTTGGATTCACGTTTTGAAACTGTACATCGTATTGCTTCCTTTCTTGATCCAAGAAGCAAAGAATTGTCATTTGAAAGTAAGGAAGTGAGGAATGTAATTAAAATTTCTGTTCATGACATGATGGAAAATATTTTAGTAAGTGAAACTACAGAGAACACCAATCCATTTCCAAGTGCACTAGATTTTCTATATCAAGCTGTGAATCCTAGTAATGATGGTAATTCAGAGTTTGAAATGTATTTAGAGGAGACTCAAATAAATCATAATTTATGTCCGCTAATGTGGTGGAAAATACATGAATACAAATACCCTAGACTGGCAAAACTAGCTAAAATGTATTTAGGTATTCCTGCAATGTCTGCTTCTTCAGAATACGTGTTATCAACCACTGGAAATATTAGTTATAAACGTAATTGCCTGTTACCAGAAAATGTTGACTTGTTGGTATTTTTGTATAAAAATAAAGATATCTGAATAAAATTGTTTCATAGATGGAGTTATTATTTCGCACGATAATAAAACTATTGTTAATTGTTTTTATAACTTTAAAAAATCTAAATATCCGAATTAGTGGAGTAAAATATTCAGGTAAGAGATATTTGAATATGTTGTATTCTTCCGGGTGTTACTTGAATATTTGAGTATTCACATGAAAATATAAAAATAGAATGCACCATATAAAATTTTGTATTGCTGTTATATTCTAGTAATATTATATTCAATATATGATCATATAAAATTCAATATTTGTATTTCTCTCGGTGGAGTTTTCAAAATATCGCGCACAATGTCGGTAAAAAAGTAAATGCACATGCGTGACGGATACAAGCGATCCTTATCCAATATTTCCACTAACAAATTCAAATGCTTTGTTGATTCAATTTTCCCCTCCTAAAAGGAGATACTCCCACTATGAGGCCCAATCTGACATTTTTACGTTATCGCTTATCTTCAATTTGCTGCTGGTACGCGTAAGTTGAACAAGTGAATTCGAATAGTTACGTACTCGAGTAATGCAGTATTAATAACAATCGAATAAGCTGGGAAAAATGGCAACGATAGTGCCCACTGTGAATGAAATAAAATTGAAAGCTTTAGAAGCATTCGTAAAAAAATTTGGAGAAAATGCAAATATTTGTGTTTGTGCACCAGGTCGTGTAAATTTAATTGGAGAGCATACCGATTACAATGAAGGCTTTGTGTTACCAATGGTAAAATTCAAATGATACAAGTAAATTAAAAAGATCAAAATATTTATAAGTAATTAAATAAGAAGTTATACAAATTTATTAATATATTAAAAGAAGATAATTCTTTCAAATTGTGTACATATTCAAATGTATGTAGATCCAATATTCAATTGTTAATTAAATAGTTGTTGATATTTTATTAACAATTTGTTTTTTACATTATTACAAATATTTATTAAACAAAAATTTTTGCCTTCTATATAATTATAATTTTCCATTATTGTTACATAATTTTCCTCTTGTTATATATTTGTTATCTTATTAACTGTTATCATATTTATTTTATTACTTGTATAGATAATAGAACATTGATTTACTTTGATATCTATGTTGGTATTAATTAAAATCTTAATACTTTCCAATATTTATAATTCATTTTGATTTACTTTGATATCTATGTTGATATTAATTAAAATCTTAATACTTTCCAATATTTATAATTCACCATAAATTTTTCACTTAAACTTATTTTATTTTCATAATACAATTTTAAAGATATAATAAACTTTAGTTAATTAAATATTGAGAAATTTAAATAGTATTTATTAAATTTAACAGTTAAATATTTTTAGATATAGTTAGATATTTTATTTATAAAATTTACATTCTAATTTATTTTATATTAGTAGTGAAGAATATAATACATTAAATTACTTTTAATTTTCAGGCATTACCCATGGTTACAATCATAGTTGGAAAACTTAGTAATGATACAAAAACTAGGATTGTTTCTCTTAACGAGACAGTTAAGTATGAGAATGAAGTTGAATTTGAAGCTGACATTCGTGAAAACATTAAACCAGAGAAAACACAATGGGCTAATTACATAAAAGGATGTATAGCACATTTTGTGTGTAAGTTTGACCTTATATACTTTTTCAGATTTTATTGAAAACTGATGAATAATATGTAAATTATATTTTATTAATTGTAGGTGATGTACCATCTTTCAATGCAGTGATTGTATCATCTGTACCTGTTGGTGCTGGACTTAGTAGCTCAGCTGCTTTAGAAGTTGCCACTTATACATTTTTGGAAGCACTAACTAATATACAATCAAAAACACCAGTGGATAAAGTATAATCTCATAACTTTTTATTTTTGTTTCCTTAGCAATAAAAGAAAAGGAATTTACATATTTGTGAATACTTTTTAGGCATTAGCATGTCAACGTGCAGAACATGATTTTGCTGGAGTTCCATGTGGTATTATGGATCAGTTTATTTCTGTAATGGGGAAAGAAGGTTGTGCTCTACTTCTTGATTGCAAAACCTTGGACATTAAGCAAATTCCTATATCACAAATTAATGACTATGTGTTTCTCATTACTAATTCAAATGTTCCTCATAAATTAAGTTCAAGTGCATATTGTGAACGTAGAGATAATTGTTACAAAGCTGCTGAAATGTTAAACAAAAAGAGTTTACGAGAAGCATCTCTAAACGATATTCGAGGTAAAATAGTAAATACAGTGTTAATACAAATTTTAAGTTACATAATTACATTTTACTTCTAGTATTGGAATCACAAAAAGTGCCTGATCTATTGATAAGAAGAGCTCGTCATGTGATCACGGAAATTCAAAGAACAGTTGATGCTGCAGCTGCTCTTGAAAAAGGAGATCTAAAACTATTTGGACGATTAATGAACGAAAGCCATGATTCATTGAAAAACGATTATAATGTTTCTTCTATTGAACTAGATACATTGGTATCAGCAGCAAGAGAAGTAAGAGGTGTTTTGGGAAGTCGTTTAACTGGTGCTGGTTTTGGAGGTTGCACAGTAACCTTATTAGAAAAGGATGTTATTGACCAAACAATTAAGCATATAAGAGCGAAGTGAGATTTTCTTACTATTTCATTTTTACGATTTTATTTTTTGCACTGACTTATATAAATTATTGCTTTTTTACAGTTATTCAGGAAATGCAACATTCTATATAGCAAGTCCTTCCATGGGTGCAAGAATATTAGGTATAAATTAAACAAATTAAAAAGTCAATTTATATTTTAAATACTTATCAGAAAATTTGAAATTTATTTTTATAAATGTAAGTTCTTTAACTTTAAAAAAAATATGATTTTATATAGATGTCTATATAATAATATAATATTAATCAGATTACAATTTGTATATTGTATATTGATTCAAAATTCAAGTAAGTACGTTTCGGTGTTGAAGTATTTTCTGAAATAACGTGTATCATATTCACACATTCATTCATATATACATCTTATGTCTTATTTTATTTACATTAAATGAATTTCTCCTGCATGATTGTAGTCTCACAGTATTGCTCCTAGATTTTCATACATGTTTAATATTAAATCATACCACCAGTCTAATAGTTTAACTTAAGGGCTAGTCGATCATCATATGAATTCTGCGTTTATTTACAAAATTATTTGTTATTTAAAAAGATTTACTATTACTAAAAATACATTGCTTTTCTTTATGTTGTTTGTATTGTTGCGTGTCTTTATATTAACGTAATACTGATATATCATAAAGTAAAGGAGTTTCAGGACAGCAATTAAAAAGAAAAATCTAAGTATTGTCAGTACCTATTCATGATAGCTGGCGACATATTTGAAAATTCTGCAAATAAGTAAAAATGCTAAAGGTTATTATTTATATATAAAGATTAAAATATTTTATTCTATAGAAGTAATCATATTTAGGTACCTTTAAGGCAGTCGTTAAGTTCAAGTTCAGAAGAACTACACCTCAAACCAGAAGGCTTCACGCCTTTAAAAATTTCAATAATACTTGGTTTTAAGTTATGAAAGATTAAAGGCTGCCCACGTTTAGAAAAGTCTTCTGTTAAACTCTTGATGCCCTAAATGGATCATATTAAAAACATATAATTTCATGTAGGGTAATATAGTGCAAATGCATTGTAATATTTGATTCGTAACATACCTTTGCGGCCGTAAAATCTGCTGCTTGGATATGTGTAGAGTCTATAACAACAGGTACACCAGTTCCTTGTTTTGTGCCATGTTTACTGATTACGGCCCGCACGTACTCTACACTTGGAAAAACGAGACTTCTGTCAGGTGTTATGACAAGATATTCACAACCATTAACACTCTGCAATAAAAAAATACTTTACTATAATCAAGGAGTTCCTGTTCAGTTTACTGGTATTAAAATTACTTTATTTCCACTTAAGTAGTGAAAACGTAATACAAATAAGAAAATGTAAGATAGAGCTCTTACCGTATCTTTATGGACTCGCAGCGATGGTCTTGCTGACGCATAAAGTAGGAATATTACATTTATACCAATACCAATCACTATGCCTAACTCTAGCCTTATAAAAAGACAGCATAAGAACGTGGCTACCGCTGGTATTAGATCAATTTCTGGAAAAAAAAAATGTACACATCAATTACACTTATTTATATTTATGTGGTGAGTAATTACTATACCATATATTAAATTATTCTGCATTATACAATTTTCTCTACATAGAAATTGTGTATGGTAACTATTATATCCAAAAATAATTTTCCTATTTAAACCAAGATTTTTTCTATTATATGTGTTATTAATAATTAGAGGATATAAATGATCAATTTTTATGTTAAACTCTATCTCAATCTTATTTATATATAAAACATATTATGTTTTGTTGGAACATTTCAACAATTTCAAATGTTTGTTGAAATTTTATATACAGCATGCCTCAAAATAAAATTAAAAATGTCTTGCAATAGCAAAAAAATAAATTGAAACAATGAGACCAATTTTACGAGCAACGTACTTTTTGTTCTCCATATTGGTTTGATCACGTGTAATTCCACCATGAAAATCACTGCAGCGATGATGATGGCCGCAAGTGCGGCATTAGGAATAAAATACAGATATGGAGTGAGGAATTGAAGAGACACGAGTACCAAGAGGCCAGTGTAAACTCCACCCAGAGTTGTTTTTACCCCTGACGAATGGTTTACAGCTCCACGGCTAAGTCCTCCGCTAACGGGCATTGAGGAAACGAATGCTGACACAACGTTGCATGCCCCCAAAGCCAACATTTCTTGAGTCGCGTCAATTGGTTTACCTTCATCTAAAAAATAAATTACATGTAACGAGTGTTGTTATTTATTTAACTATGTTGTATTTTAAATTTATGAAGAACATGTTCTGTGTCTGAGGGTTAGGTTAGGGGGTTTCCATTCACTTTATTCAATTGTTTGGTAATGTCATTTGAAACTTACTAAAAACCTTGGCGATGGAAATGGTTTCCAAAAGGCTCAATAAAGGGATGACCAGACATCCCGATCCCAAGGCAGAGACCATGTCAATGAAATTGTAAGTTTCATTGTTATGGTAAGTTTGAAACGGTGGCGGACGAAATTCCGGAAGTCCTTGTTTGACATGGCCTGTCAAACTAACTGGCGAGAAACCTAAGTGACTTTCTAATAGCCAACACATAACGGCGCAAACGAGGACTACCAGTATGTTTCGAGACGTAGAAAGCAACCAGAGGGATTTCTGCATGATCGCTCGTGCTTTTGATGGCATTTTTGCGGTCTCTTGCGGCGTCACTAAATCCTTGACTTTCTGTGAAAATAAAATTTGTATTTACAACTCTGAACTCCAAGGACCAAAATAAACAGTTCTTTCATTTTTTTAAAACTCTGTCTGAGCTTGTATCTTTTATTTAACACAATATCTATTCCTGTTGAATTATCAGAAAAAAATGTTAAACAATTTCTTTAAAAGTGTTCTCATGGAACAAATATGTTAGAATCTGTGCAACAAAAGATACTATTACATCACTATTTTATTTTTAGGAGGTACATACAAAATACTGTAGAAAATTTTACTCAAGAAGCTACTGAAAAATAAAAATGTTTTTCCAATACTATAAATCAGTCAGGTTAGAAACTTTGTTCGTTTAAGTATATATAGGGTGTCTCAAAATTAAATGACCAAACTTCTAAAGGAACAATAATTGATCATTAAATGATTAATATGTACTATAAGTAGAAATATGAAAAATATATTCGCATAGGTCCGAAAGCGGTTTATAATGACATTATAATAGAAATATAAAATCTGAGGCAATAGCAAGTTTACTGGTTATACGTTACAATGTAGAAATTAATAAACCGACGATTTTTACTGAATGTGCTTTTTGTAACTAGCGCTTTGTCGATTTTAAATTATACTGCTAATTACATATTTTTTAAGTGTACATACAATATTTGTAAAACGTTCCTGCATACAAGTCATTGCTTTGCATACAGATGCACGTATACATATAGGGTGTTCCATTTGAGTTAAATCACAAAATTATTTTCAAAACTATTCGTTATTGGAAACAATATTTTAAGTGAAATTTATTTATAAATAATAGAGTAATACATTTAAACCTAATGTTTTGTGTTAAGCTAGGTATCCAAAACTTATATGTATCTTCAAGAGGATTGCCAATATTTGTGCCAAATATCATTCTCCATAACGAATAGTTCAAAATAATGGCTTATTTTAAATAGGACACCTTGCATAACATGTTTTTCTTATTTCTACATATAGAACATACAGGTAAAGTTTGATCGTTGAACTCTGAGATATCTTGGCGACATAAGTAAACAGAAGTACTAACTCTAAGAAGAAGAAGAACGATTATACAAGTGACACCCAACGCCGTATCCCAAAGCTTCGTCTCTCCAATTTTTTCGAATATGTTGTGCCATACTTCGACGAATTTACTACCGCTAATTTGTATGCCTAGGATATCCTTCACTTGACTAGTGGCAATAATGATTGCTGCCGCTGATGTAAAGCCAACTGAAACCGGTCCCGATATGAAATCCAGCAAAAAACCTAATAAAAAAATAGAGACGTAATACAGTTAATTAAATTCATGTTTTTATAGTTACAGATATTATATTGAAAATTATATTGATTTCTAACGCGCTGACTACCCATAGTACATTTAGCTATGACTAACACCGCAATAATGGCGCAACTGGGTCGATCTTGACCCTGACCTACGAACGTACAAATACATTTCTAATAAAATTAGATACTCAAATTTTTTTATGAAAAACTTTCACTTGTCAAAAAAGTAATATAATATTGAAAAGTATAAAAATTTGGAAAATAAAAATGGAGAGTTTAAAATTATGTTTAAACTAGCGCTGCATTCCCGCTATCACAGAATTGCAGTTATAAAGAATTACTCTTTTAATTAACTACATTTATTGTTCATAATTTTAATGGTGATTATTTAATTATTATTGCAGTGTATGTTACAGGTATCTTTATGTGATAGTCAACGTATTAAGTCATTGATGGATAATTATGCATCGCAAATGGCGTAGTCTCGCGTATTCCCGTTAAAATATGAGGATGTTGTAAATATTAAAAATATGTAGGAGACGTGTTTTTATGTCTACAGAGTGGTTGATTTAAATAACCACATAAATGTTTCTATTATATATTTTATTGTTTAATGGAAAAAATATTCAGGAGGAAGTTATGCTATTTTATGAGGCACATTTGAAAGACAATTTTTTTTCAAGGTCTTTTTACAAGGCTATCTATGTTTGGTTAAGCAGAATGTGTTTTTTTGACATATTTTATTAATCTGTATATTACTGTTACCCTAAATATTAAATAAATCATACCTAACTGCAGGATTCCCATCAGTAAGCAAACACAGCCAGAGATGAAGGTTAAAAGCACTGCAAAATCGGCGCCTAAGTCAGATTTTTGTAACGTTTCCCTAGTTAATATTGCGATAATCGCTGTTGGGCCGACTGGCACGTCTTTGCAGGATCCTAGGATGGTGTACACGAAAGAGGCCATAAAGGAGGAGTACAAACCATACTGTAAAATATAAATGGACAAATATATTAGTCACTAATTTCTCTTTTGAATAAAAAGAGACAGTTGTAAATTGAAAACAAGTAAAAGACAATTGTATTTTAATTTTCTTTCATGATTTAAAATACGAAAAATTAAAGTATAATTTAGTTTTATAAATTTCAAGATTGTTCCAGTTATAACAAAATAAAGATCATTTTTCTTTTTGCTAACCATGTTGTCTTTTTATAATTAAAATAAATAAAAGATAATGTTAATGTTTTTAAAAATGTTGATAAAAAATTCTAACTAACAAATGTCAGATATAGTGCAATACATTTTAACTTTTAGTTGATAGAATTTTTGCAATATTCATGGAATGATTTTGGTGAAAAATATTTTACTATTTGAGTGCTTTTGTAAATGACCTGCAGTTAAGCCTTTTTTTATATTTATTAAATGTGAAAAAATTTTTGAAATAATTATTTAAAAAATAATTTTGGATTTCAACTGATAAGTATCTATTATGAACCTATCAATTTTCATTTATGTTTAAATCATATTACTGATTAATACTTAACCTAACCTAATTTACTCAATCGTCACTACTGATAGGTATCAATTACTTGTCAATTTTCATTTATTATTGTCTCACATCATTAATTAATGCAAAGAGAGATATTTGTAAGCAATGGGATTAAAAGTTATTTTATTACAAAATTAAAATTTTGTTACAAGTTATAGTTAAATAAAAAAACTATAAACAAGAAAAACGCAATTTTAATTGTTCAAAAATTTGTAAATATTTAGTTCATGTCAAAGGAGAAGTCGCATTTTGTTTAGTAATTAATGAAGAACAATTTTATTTCCCGCCATTTTTCAATTTTAGAAGACCTGATAAGTGAACTTGAAAATTTCCAACTTCTCAAATTTTTAGATTCTCAAATTCTCAAGTTTCTAAAATTCAAAAATTTCTAAAATTTCAAATCTTCAAACTTTTATAATTTGATAAATTCCTCTACATTTTCCATTCTTCAAATTCTTAAATTTCCAACTTTCTGAATTTATAAATATCCCAATTTTTAAGCTTTTAAATCTCCATCTTCTTCAATTTTTAAATTTTCAAATCGCCAAAGCCTGAAAATTCCAATTTTTAAGATTCAAAATTCAAAAACTTTGAAAAATAAATTCTACAAATTTCCCTATTTCAAAATTTACTAACCAAAAATGAATAAAGAGTGCCGTTTTTTTCTCCGTATATTACCATGTCTCATACTTATCATGTTCATCTAAGTATGTACACGTCGATAAAAACAAATGCAGTCATTCTTACCTGCAAAGGAAGTCCTGCAACATTTGCATAAGCTATTGCTTGTGGTATAATGGTAAGTCCTACGGTAATTCCAGCAACAAGATCACTAGCTATAAAATCCTTATCATATTTTTGTATCCACGCTGTAATAGGTATCCTCTTATATAATAATTTTTTCTTACAGGATCCTTTAATTCGTTGATACAACCATTTCCTTCCTAAAGAGCACAGTAAGTTTTTTTCAGGGTTTAGCGAACCTGCAACAAGTTCAATAAATCGTATAACTAAATCAAATGCTACTTTTTTATTTTTGTAATTAATATTTTTTATTTTTATTTTATATTATTGTTAAGTTAGGTTAGGTTGAACTTAAATCTAAACTTGTAGAAACTCACAATTCAACTCACAAAAAAAAAATCCAGTGTAAAAATTTTAAATTTGAAAAACCCTAAAATATTTCAAAATTGTAAAATCCTAAAATTCCAAAAAGCTCCGAGGTTTCAAAGTTAAAAAATTCTGAAATTCCTATAAATCTAATCTAATATTTCATAATCTAAAATTAAAAAAAATTCTCGTCTCATAAAATCGAAGCCGCGTACTACTTCCGTATAAAAGTGATCAGTATAATTTCTAAAGAAAATTTATTATTTCTGTAAGATAATGCTTTCCGTTACAAATAAAACTACGAATTATGCAAATGAGTGACTAAAGTAAATATTTACTTACATTAAAGTATGAATGAGATATCGCTAATATGTATGTAAATTCAGCTGTTAATTGGTTAACCATGCTATATATCATGGAAAGATATTCAAATGGGCACGATTAATTAATACGCGCGTGGATTTCTTTATGGAGATTCCTCAAGACATGTGACGACCTTTTCAAACAACGACTTTAGAAAGTATGTACGTTCGGAAAAGGAAATGAAAAAAAAATACAACCCCGCGATATGTATTATTATAATATATGCAAGTATGCCTATTGCTAAAGCTACCAGATAACTAGTGATAATTGCAGGTGAAGTAAAGCTAGACAGGTTTAACAGGTTTTACACGTTAATATAGTTGATGGGAAAAATTTCTAGATCGGAAACTTATTCGCATTTGTATTACACTCTTTGTTCTGAATGACATCTGATTACACGCATGAAAAACCTTATAAAATTTTGAACTGATAAAACTACAGAAATCTATGTGTTAAATGGTTATTTGATTTCTTAACGATGCTGTAAATCTTATGTGAATGGAAGTATTAGCGAAAAGAAAGGCAATTGTACAAGCTGTCACTGTACAAGGGCAGCTAATCAAACCGTGCATTATCTTGATTGATTATTATAAGTAGTCAATCACTTCTTAAAGGTGTAGAAACCAGAGTTATACAGGAAAGTAGAGTTTATTGTTATCGAGGTGGTTGGGGAGACTCACATTAACCTGTCAAGAACCTTTATTAAGTGTAATAACAATAAAAAGTATAAATATCATTACACTGTTCACACCACATGAACACCACCGTGCATTTTTACCGCGCATTTCTACCGCGCATTTCTATCCGAACATCTCCGAGCATTGCCGACCCTTTCCGAAGCTATTCATACACTCTACAACCCTGTAATACTTGAAAATTACAGTAATATTCTAACATTACAATATTTATTTATTATTGTAGTGTGTATTTATTATTGTATATAGGAATACATAATTTATTATACTGCTTATTTTACAATAAACCTTAATCATTTATTGTGCATTGAAAATGTATAAATGTATGAATTTCTTTTTAACTACATTTTGATGTGTGATTTTAAACAAGAGGTTATTACATTTGTACATAAACGTTCGGATACTCGATGAAAAATGAATTTATATATACAGCGTAGTAGAAACCACAATTTTAATATTTTGTTGCAAACCCTATGAATATTAACAAGGAAGTTGAAATGGTAGAAATTTATTTGAGTGGTCTGAATTAGCAATTCATTTTAACTGCGTGCGATTCATTTTATGACACAGTGTCAATCAACGGAACAAAACAAATGTGCAGCGGTGAAAAATAAATTGTCTGAAAAGCTTTGCGGAAAAGGTTTGCTACTTTTCTCTTCGTTCTATAACTCGTATATTAGTAAAAATGCTAGCAATATTTATGAAAAAAAAAGTCTCAATTTCGAATAATATCGCTGTAACAAATATGTTACAGCAATAAAAATATTAGTACACAATTTGTCATCAACAAAAACGTTTCTTCGTGTGCCACGTTAATTGTGAACATCTGTCACAGCTTTCTGTCAATTTATAATCGCTGTTTATACAATGATCCTTCGAAACGGTCGTTAAACGTGTATCAGGTGTGACAACTTCATCAATTATGTGTCTTCTCTTCTGTGGGTAATCATGATATCGTTAAATAATGATGTGAAAATGACATAGCGTATCAACGGCTTGATGGATCTGCCTAATGAGATTCACATGGAAACAAAGCATCTTTTCATTCATCATGCTTTGTTCTTTGGTAGAACAATGACAAGATGTTTTAGTTGAAGTCAATGACGCCCCAATTTTGGTATGGAGTGACTGTAAGCTGGTTGTGTCGCAAATACAATGTTTACGAATTATATCTGTATTTGGGGTCATTGCAGTGAATTTAGGATATCTGAGTTTTTAAATTGTTTGTTGGGAATTTGAGATTTTGAAATTTTGAAATTTGCAAATTTTGAGATTGGAGGTTTAGAAATTGAAGTATTTAGGAATTCGGGGAATTAGAAATTTGGAGAATTAGAAATTTGGGAGTTTGAGAATTTGGAGATTTAGAAATTTGGGAAATTACAAATTTGGAGTTTGAGAATTTGGGGAATTAGAAATTTAGGAATTTAGGAATTTGGGGAATTAGAAATTTTGGAATTTAGAAATTTGGGGAATTAGAAATTTTGGAATTTAGGAATTTAGGAATTTAGGAATTTGGCGAATTAGAAATTTTGGAATTTAGGAATTTGAGGAATTAGAAATTTTGGAATTTAGAAATTTTGGGAATTAGAAATTTTGGAATTTAGGAATTTGGGGAATTAGAAATTTTGAAATTTAGAAATTTGGGGAATTAGAAATTTTGGAATTTAAGAATTTGAGGAATTAGAAATTTTGGAATTTGGGGAATTAGAAGTTTGGTGCTTGAGAATTTGGAGAATTAGAAATTTTGGAATTCAGGAATTTGGGGACTTAGAAATTTGATAATTTGAGAATTTGAAAATTTGATTATTTAGGAATTTGATAATTTGGTAATTTACACATTTGGAAATTTCGGAGTCCAGAAATTTAAGGATTTAAAAATTTGAAAACTTTCAATTAAGATAGGTTGCTACTCATTCCTGTATTGCATTAAATGTATCATGTTACGTATGATATAAATTTCGAACTTTTGCAATATTTATCACATATGTATATAGTCGGAAATAACTGTAACATTATATAATCGACTAGGAGTAAAAGTAGAAACACAACTTTGAATAAAATAATGAACGATTGCTATTAACAATATTTTTACGTAATTTACTTTAAATTATACTTTTACACGCAAACCATGTCATAGCTATATGATATCACAAGGAAATCGTAGTAATTCAATAATATAAAACTAATATTTTGTTAAATTTTACAAATTTATAATTACAAAAATTTCGAATTTAAAAATTTACAAATTCTTAAATGTGACAATTTTTAAATTCCGAAATTTACAAATTTAGAGATTCTGAAATTCTAATATTTCAAAATTTTTAAATCCGAACCCAGTACTTAAAATATTTTAATTTTGCAAATTTCAAAATTGTAGAAATTTCAAAATCTAAAAATTTACCACTTCTCAAACGTATCAATTTCTAATTTGCGAAATTTTCAAATTTCCAAATATTCAATCTCCAAAATTTCTAATTCCTCAAATTCCTAAATTATGAAATTTTCAAATTTCCAAATTGTCAACCTTCTGAACTTCTAAACCCCCAAATTCAAACTCCAATATTTCTAAATATGCAAAACCTTATCCCAACACTTAAAATATAACTATACAGACATACAATTGTAGAAATTTCGGAATTTAAAAAATTGTTAAATTCTCAAACTGTAATATTCCTAAATTTCAAATATCTGAGCTCAGCATTCAAAATATTACAAATTTCATCTGATTCTAAATATTCAAAGATGAACATTAATTATAATATTATTAACGCCCAAAGACGAAACGTCCGTAGAAAAATAATTTCGACACAGTTACGGCAAATTAGCGATTACCGGTTTCTTAGAAAATGTTTGGTTAATATTTCACAAATTTTATTCTGTCAACTTTTATAGTAATTACGGAAGAAAAGTATTGAACATGTTAACAGGTAGAATTGCATAACTGTGATTAACGTTGAAAGACGCGACGATAGAATATGTCTATTTAAAACCTTGTAAATGAGGATATTTAAGACTGTTTATAAAAACTGACACGTGGTGATTATTATCTATAAATCACTATAGAGGAATGTAGATAATTGAATTTTTCAATTAAAGAAAAGTTGTTAGCTGTGCAGGAAGTGTATACATATTTTGTTTTATTTATGGAAGAAGTGCAGAATATTTGAAATATAGAGATTAATTTTTGGAGGGCATTTAAGGTCATTTCCAATTCTTTCAATTTTTCTTTTTTTAATAATGCATTTGAGTAATGAGTATACAATTCATTTGCAGAATATGCAATATTTGGAGTAACTATTTTATTAAAATGGGTCAAAGTCGGGCATAATTTCTTCATATAAAAATATTACTACATAGCTGAAAATATTACTTGACTCAAACATTATACGACTTGTTGAAAATTACTACGTGGAAGTTACATTAAAATTCTTAACAAAATGTGACAAGTTTATCAATTTACTATTACTAGCTTATCACTAGTAAGTACTAGACCAGATACTATAATATATCTTATTCGATTGGTTAATATCTAACAACGTTTGACGATATTAAAGTACTATCAAAGATCACGAACGTAGATCACACGGTTATCTGCGATCTAACAAGATTTCATGACATAAAAGTACTCCCAAATGCTACTTATGGTGTATCAAATTGAACCTTAAGGATTAATGAAAATGACTGTATAGAAGATTCATCAATATATATAATGGAAAATGGTTCGGTGACATTTATAGCAAACAATGATTGACTTTCGAACATATAATGTCTAACTTAATTTGATGATATAAAAGTATTGCATAATATCAATTATAATATGTTAATTTGTAGCTTGAAGCTTAATAAATGTAATACACTAATAGTTTATTAGTATTCTGAATATAAAATGACTGGTTAACTGTCGCAGCAAACAATGGATCGGTTACCATAATGAGGAGCGCTGTATTAGGTTCGTTTACGTCTAACACAACTTGATGACATAAAAGCATTATAAAATGGAACATATGGTACATCAGTTTCAAGCTTAAGGGATATTAAAAGTAACTACGTAAAGGTTTCGTTATAATTCCTAACGCAAAGTGACGGATTATCTATTATACTGAGCACTGGACCAATTATCGTAATGAAGTGTACTTTATTTGGTTGGTTAGCATCTAACAAAGTTTGATGACACAAGAGTACTGTCAAACAACGCATATGGCATATCAATGTGAAGCTTAAAGTATTACGAAAATAAGCACACAAGGTATCGTTATAATTCTTAACACAAAATGAATGGTTATTAATTCGGTTGAGTAATGGACCAGTTACCATAAAGAGGTATACCTTATTAGGTGGGCACACGTCTAACACAATTTGATGACATAAAAGTGTTGCAAAATGATACATATACCACACCAATTTAAAGCTTAAAGAGTGTTGGAAATAACTACATAAATGTTTCATTGAAATTCTTGACACAAAATGACTGGTTATGAATTGTACTGACAAATGATTCAGTCAGCATAATAAAGTAGATCAGTTACTTATAGCTGCTTAACGTCTGACAAATTCATGACATAAAACTATTGCAAAATGATACATATAGCATGTCAATTTAAAGTTTATAATGTGTCGAAAATAACTACGTGAAGGCTTCATTGAAATTCATCATAAAAAATGACTGGTTTTCAATTATATTATCAAGTGGTTCAGTTAGCATAATAAAGTAATACCATTCGGTTGTTTAACGTGTAATTTGATGGAGTAAAACTATTGCGAAATAGCATATCAATTCAAGCTTCCTCTTAGGTTCATCCTAACTTTGTCTTAAGTTTTCACTAAGCTTTCACTAAGTTAAGCTCTTTTCAGACTCTCCTTAGATTTTCCTTAAGTATTTTATGAACTAGATCCCTTTTAGGTTCTCCCATTTCGTAAGTTTAAATTAAATTCTTTTTAGTCTCCACCTAAACTCTTTTTAAAATTTTACTAAATTTTCTTCCTGGTTTAAGATTTTCCTAGGACCTGTCCATAAGCTTTTACTAGGTTTCTCCTAAGTTTCTCGAGATTTTCCTAAGATTACTAGGCTTCTGTTCCATCGTCTTTAAACTTCAAATTTATGTAGCACAACCTTTCAGTAATCGTCATTTTCTCTAACGAGGATTTCCCTGCCATACCCTACTAACAGTAAGAAAATTTCCGATTGATTCATGAACATAAAAAAATCCTTTAACTGATTAATAAAATGTGTGGTAAAGGTAAAAACTCGTTTCCGTTCAGATGAAATCATAAATACTGAGTGAAGTGGCAATGTTAACAAACCGCAAGAACTGTATACACATTATCCTTCGGATTATATTTAAAGTTTAATAAGGAAATATCGCGGGGAAGTACATAGTTTGCATAGAAGAGGAATTCCGTGGAAAGATATCCAAGGAAAATGCATCGCGAACGTTCACTTTCAGATACAGGTGCATCTGATTCATTATAAACGAGCACAATGATTAAGAAGGAAAAATGGTTTCAAGGTATATTTTTCCCATCGTCTTCTGACTCAATTTCTTGCTGCATACTACGCTGACGTGTACAGAATTAGAATTTCCACTTTTTTTCTTCTAATTGGTTTTGTAACGTTTCATCACCGTAGCTATCGATTAGAAACGTTTTTTTTAGCGACTTCCTTCAGAATACCTTCTTATACTTTTTCAGTGAGAGATTTATTCAATTTGTTAATTGTAAATGACGTGATAATGTGTTGTATTACGTATAATCATTTCTGTTATGGCATTTCAGTTGTTAACACGTTTTGCTGATGTAGTGAAATTTGTCTTATGTGATTAGTTAATTTTTTAATTTAGAATTTAGGAGAGGTAGTGATTTAGGACAGAAAAATTTGCAGAATGTGGAGACTTAAACTATGTTTTCAACGTGGAAATTGAAAACTTACAAATATTTAAATAAGAAATCTGAAAAATTTAGAAGCTTGAGAATATCGGAATTAGCAAATTTGCAAATTTGAATATTTCGCTAATTTAAGATTTAAAAATTTGAGACACTGAAAGTCAAAAATTAAGATATGTAAAAATATGAGCAAGAAATTTGAAAATTTCAGAATTTGAGAAAATGGGTATTTAGAAATTTCACTAACTGAACCCTCTATTGCATCTAATTGATTAATATAACGAAAATAAAGTAACAATTTTGTTACGCTGCAGATAATTCGCAATAACGGTATTCAGAATTGACTTCGCCTTACAAAATTGTAAAGCAAGTAGATAATAAAATTATTTTCCCTTATGACCGAGTCAGGAATCACAGCATGAGAGCAATCATCTTAGGTAAATATCAATTCTGAGTCTAAAAACTGACTTGCAGTAGTCACAGGTGTAACATCCGAGGTCATAGACAGCACATTCATGGTGTATCCACATTTCGCGCACGAAGCATTACATTCGCTGCTCTCCTCTTTCGATTTTAGCTGTTATCGATGAAACAGAAGCATCGGTACGCTTTGAAATATTGCAAATTGCATTAATCTTCGATATTCTGAATTAACAACGCGGCATCGAAACCAAATAATTTCGTGTCATCTTTTGTATTCTGGAAATGTTCGCAAAATTAGCACGAAACTGTAGAATTAATATGCGGACGAGTAGAATAAACGAATTACTTTAAAGTTTTTACGTATTTTGATCACGATCGCAATGTTTGAATACGTGTCGAAGAACTTTTGCAAATAAACCTTTTACTTTTCTGCGGATTGAACCGAAGAAGTGAAAATTACGGTTCGTTCACAAATTTCATTAATTAATTCATTATTCGTTTCTATTATTTGCGGTGATATAAATTGGATACCGTTAGCAAGTTTTTAGATACTTCAGCATTGGAAATTGCCCATAGTATTTCAAATATGCTACACTTTCTTTGCCACGTGAATAAAAGTGACATACATCGAACACAACGCGACGAAAGAAAATTATATGATTGCTCTTGAAAAACTCGAGTTGTAGAACCCCCAGTTTTTCTAAGAACAAAAGATGTTTACATAATAGTCGTTATTATTAAATATTGTTTTCTTAACACCGACGAATTTCTTTTTTTTATTACCTGAATACAAAATGTATGCAAATTGCACAAGGCGTCCACGTGAATTTCTGATACAGAATCTAGATTCATTATCAAGGTAATAAGCAATTTATCAAGATTGAAAGTACTCTTAAGACTAGTAATTAGATATAAAGATATAGCTTAAAACGTGTAAAGTATGATAATGTATAATACTACATAATAATTAATGAAACTCATCAATCAAATAACTGTTCGTTATCATTCAGTAATAAGTTGTTGAAACTTTTCATTCATGTACATATGTCTTACTCTTTGTAGAAATATCTACTTCTGATAAGATCAATTAATTATTTCTTTTTTGATTAGATTATATTGCTTATCACTTCCTTGTAACACTATTCTTCCTGAGAAATAATGCAATATCAAAAATTTTTGAGTATTAGAAAGTAATAATAAAAATTTTGCTTTAAAAAAATGCATAGAAAGAAACACGATAAAATACTATATCATAGAGATTAAAAGTAATAATATTTTTTGGTGGTCAATTCTGACACCAGTAGAAGATGAAAGTAAATTGTAAAGTAAATTCAAAAGAATGAAATAAAGGAAAATGATAAACATGCAATGAATAAAGTCATTCTTAATTTTTAATATTTTTCTAGTAATATTAAAACGTAAAAAGCAAACTTACCATCATTGTTCACAGGTTTGTTGTACTTGTTGCAAATATGGACACTGTTTAGTCTGTTCTCGAAGTCCGGTGTCTCTTCAAGGTCGTTGTTATTGCTCTGAAGAGGATCCTCGAAACTAGCATTATTATATCCGGTTAACCGAACCTGCCTAGCAGTTTCGATATCGTACTCTTGGATATTGTACTTCGACATTTTCGTAAAACACGAACAGTTGATAGGGAAATTAACACTGAGGGAAATCTAAATTTAAACATAGGAGCACTTAAGCAGACATCATTGTTTAGTCCCTGTACGTCGCGACCCTGAAATGCAGAAACAGAAATAATTTATTGCTTTACCCGCTATACCGTTATATTTTATTATTCTTACATTGCTATTACTTTTTTGGAGATTAGTAACAGTGCGAAGATTTGAAGGTTTTTGTTCTTTTGTTTCTTACTGTGTTTTTCTTTTGGCTCAACGTTTTTGTATATGTATATTCCTTTCTATTCGTTGCAAAAACATTCTGAATGTTACAAACATTTTTGTAACGTCTTATGCAATTAAACGAACAATATCCTGTCTTATGTAATAACTGAGGAAAAGATATTCGTTTGGGAAATGTGAAAAATTGTTCGAAGTAGGGCAGTTGTGCTGAATAATGTAATATACTTGAAGTTACTAAATTTTCCTAAAATTTCCAAATCTTCAATTTCGAAAATTCTTAAAATTAATAAACTCCAAATGTTCGTATTTCTAAGTTTTTTTAATTCGAGGCATTCAAATTTTTAAATCCAAAGTTTTTAAAAATGTTGAACCTCGACTTCTTTTATTTTCACGAACCTAAACTACTTTCTGAAGCCCTTAGAATTTTAATATTTATTAACCCCAAATTTTCTTTGTCACTCAAATAAAAAGCGTATAAACTTGTACTCCAATTGTAATTAACAAAAAGTTACACATTTAACAGCCCACTTAAAGCCATCACTAGTTTAAATATATTATCATAATTCAATCTTTTACATAGGAATATTTAATTATTACATCAAAATAATATTTAATTATTATAAAATAAATTTTATACAATAATATAATAATATTCTACATTATGAGAATCTGATAATATAAGTCTTACAAGATTGCATTTCGATGATCTATGTGGATTACACTTTAATATTCACGTAAACATAATGCCGTTATATTATTCCGTTAATATTAAACATTAATCTGTTTAATATTAATTTGAAATCTTATGTTTACTGAAAATGACTACATAAACGTTTCATTAATATTCATAATACATAAAGTCTGATTATCATTCGTTGTAAGCAATGGATCAATTAACACAAACAATGAGATGTATCTTATTAGGTTGCCCAAGTAATACGATTTCATGACATACAAGTACTTCTAAATGCCACTTATGGTATATCAAATTGAACCTTGAAGATAAATGAAAATGTCCGTATAGAAGAATCATTAATATATTTAATGGAAAATGGTTTGTTGAAATTTATAGCAAACAATGATTGACTTTCGAACATATAATGTCTAACTAATTTGATGACATAAAAGTATTGCATAATATCAATTATAATATGTTAATTTGTAGCTTGAAGCTTAATAAATGTAATACACTAATAGTTTATTAGTATTCTGAATATAAAATGACTGGTTAACTGTCGCAGCAAACAATGGATCGGTTACCATAAGTTACCATGGGGAGCGCTGTATTAGGTTCGTTCACATCTAACACAACTTGATGACGTAAAAGCATTATAAAATGGAACATATGGTACATCAGTTTCAAGCCTAAGGGATATTAAAAGTAACTACGTAAAGGTTTCGTTATAATTCCTAACGCAAAGTGACGGATTAGCTATTATACTGAGCACTGGACCAATTATCGTAATGAAGTGTACTTTATTTGGTTGGTTAGCATCTAACAAAGTTTGATGACACAAGAGTACTGTCAAACAACGCATATGGCATATCAATGTGAAGCTTAAAGTATTACGAAAATAAGCACACAAGGTATCGTTATAATTCTTAACACAAAATGAATGGTTATTAATTCGGTTGAGCAATGGACCAGTTACCATAAAGAGGTATACCTTATTAGGTCGGTACACGTCTAACACAATTTGATGACATAAAAGTGTTGCAAAATGATACATATACCACACCAATTTAAAGCTTAAAGAGTGTTGGAAATAACTACATAAATGTTTCATTGAAATTCTTGACACAAAATGACTGGTTATGAATTGTACTGACAAATGATTCAGTCAGCATAATAAAGTAGATCAGTTACTTATAGCTGCTTAACGTCTGACAAATTCATGACATAAAACTATTGCAAAATGATACATATAGCATGTCAATTTAAAGTTTATAATGTGTCGAAAATAACTACGTGAAGGCTTCATTGAAACTTATAATGTGTCGGAAATAACTACGTGAAAGTTTAATTGAAATTCATCATACAAAATGACTAGTTAACAATTACATTGTCAAGCGGTACAATTTAGCATAATAAAGTAATACCTTTCGGTTGTTTAACGTTTAACTTGATGGAGTAAAACTATTGCGAAATAGCATATCAATTCAAGCTAAAAGTTTTTATGAATTAAATACATAAATTCATTAAAATTCACAACACACGGTGGCTGGTTACCGACTGCGTTTAGTAATGACAGAATTACCATAATTAGACGTATTCTATTAGATTGATTAATATCTAGTACAATTTAATGACATACAACTACCGTGAAATAGTACGTGCGATACATAACTTTGAAGCTTAAAGAGCGATAAAAGTAATTATCTGAAACTTTCGTTAAAATTCTTAACAGGACTGCCCACATTGTGCAATGAATCAGTTATCGTAATTACGTGTACTCTATTAGGTTAATCAACATCTAATGTAATTTTAGAGTGAAAGTTGTAGGATACTATCATAAAGTAAAATTGTAAAAAATACTTGAGTATGTAGATATCATCTGTATGTATCTAATCAATGAAAGATAAAGCAGTGCAAGATGTAGTACAATGCAATTTTCATATACATTCATATGAGGAGGTTACATCTACAGTGGCATAACTTTCAGATTTCAGCAATTTAGAAATTTGAGAATTTAAAAAATTTGAAATTTCTGTAATTATAAATTTTAAAACTTCGAACATTATTTTCATCGTTCCAAATTTCCTAATAATCGAATCACTGACATAGTTATAAAATACGTAGGAGCTACAAAGTAAGTCATTTAATCTACTCGTTTGCATATTGATTCTATAATTTCGAGCCGATACCACATTTCATGATGACTGTCAAAGGCTGGTATGTAGTCATACGCATTATCTAACTCGGCACGTTTTAAGTCATATCTTTGTATCTCATTGCTAGTCTTAAGAATACTTTCAATCTTGATGTATAATTTATCGCCTTGATAATGAATCTTAATTCGCTCTATTAGATATTCACGTTAACGCGTAGTACAATTTTTATGCATTTTGTATTCAGGTAATAAAAAAAAGAAATTGATCAGTGTTAAGTAATAACGACTATTATGTAAACATCTTTTGTTCTTAGAAAAACTGGGGGTTCTACAACTCGAGTTTTTCAAGAGCAATCATATAATTTTCTTTCATCGCGTTGTGTTCGATGTATGTCACTTTTATTCACACGGCAAAGAAAGTGTAGCATATTTGAAATACTATGGGCAATTTCCAATGCTGAAGTATCTAAAAACTTGCTAACGGTATCCAATTTATATCACCGCAAATAATAGAAACGAATAATGAATTAATTAATGAAATTTGTGAACGAACCGTAATTTTCACTTCTTCGGTTCAATCCGCAGAAAAGTAAAAGGTTTATTTGCAAAAGTTCTTCGACACGTATTCAAACATTGCGATCGTGATCAAAATACGTAAAAACTTTAAAGTAATTCGTTTATTCTACTCGTCCGCATATTAATTCTACAGTTTCGTGCTAATTTTGCGAACATTTCCAGAATACAAAAGATGACACGAAATTATTTGGTTTCGATGCCGCGTTGTTAATTCAGAATATCGAAGATTAATGCAATTTGCAATATTTCAAAGCGTACCGATGCTTCTGTTTCATCGATAATAGCTAAAATCGAAAGAGGAGAGCAGCGAATGTAATGCTTCGTGCGCGAAATGTGGATACACCATGAATGTGCTGTCTATGACCTCGGATGTTACACCTGTGACTACTGCAAGTCAGTTTTTAGACTCAGAATTGATATTTACCTAAGATGATTGCTCTCATGCTGTGATTCCTGACTCGGTCATAAGGGAAAATAATTTTATTATCTACTTGCTTTACAATTTTGTAAGGCGAAGTCAATTCTGAATACCGTTATTGCGAATTATCTGCAGCGTAACAAAATTGTTACTTTATTTTCGTTATATTAATCAATTAGATGCAATAGAGGGTTCAGTTAGTGAAATTTCTAAATACCCATTTTCTCAAATTCTGAAATTTTCAAATTTCTTGCTCATATTTTTACATATCTTAATTTTTGACTTTCAGTGTCTCAAATTTTTAAATCTTAAATTAGCGAAATATTCAAATTTGCAAATTTGCTAATTCCGATATTCTCAAGCTTCTAAATTTTTCAGATTTCTTATTTAAATATTTGTAAGTTTTCAATTTCCACGTTGAAAACAAAGTTCAAGTCTCCACATTCTGGCATTTTTAGGTCTGCAAATTTTTCTGTCCTAAATCACTACTTCCTCTAAATTCTAAATTAAAAAATTAACTAATCACATAAGACAATCTCACTACATCAGCAAAATGTGTTAACAACTGACATGCCATAGCAGAAATGATTATACGTAATACAACACATTATCACATCATTTATAATTAACATTCAGAATAAATGATTATTTAATTTTCCAACTCCGGCTTTCAACGTATTGCCTCACATTATTATTGCAGTACTAATTACCTTCCAATTCATTCATTCATTTGCATGTTTATTAAACGTATAATGACCATCGTCCTAATAAAGAAAGTTAAAATATTATGTTTACCTTCCATTTAACAATTTTTGCATTCTGTAAGACAAAGACAAACATGTAACAGTAGATTTACAGACACTGTCAAAATGGCAGATTGTAAATATGTTATTTTGAATTACGAAAGTTATTTTACGAAAGTAACTTTGGTAAATAATGATGTAAAGCCCCAATGACCTTGTCATACCTTTTCAAGGCCGTCGTTTGGAATAAATTTTTCTTGTAACTTAATCGTCGCTGATAGTTAATTACGAAGTTACTAATAAACAAG